GAATGTTAGTGGAAAACATATTTGTTAAAAGAATAAAAAAAGAGATAATAAACAAATAAAGGAAAACTCGTTATATTACACCAAAAATATTCTTTTCATTATTTCGAGGCCAGGAGTGACTAGTGGTAAGTGTGTCGAACCGAGGATCCATGGTTCGCACCCCACTGCCGAAAAACTGCGGACAGCATTTTGGTGCCGTGGATACCTTACAATAGTGACGGTTAAGTCCAACTATTTGCTCATGTAAGAATCGCACAGGATCTGGTGGTATGCGCTGTTGGTTAACAGCTCAAATTAGAGATGGCCAGCGCAGATAGCCCTTCAAATATATATTCACTTTTACACAAGATGTGGGTTTATCATAAGGTCAGTAAAGCTCTGTATTTCGGAGTTGGCGAACGGGGTTATAATCTGTTCGACACCCCAAAATATTCTCCTCATTTTAAAATGTGGCCAAATTATAACAGCGACAATCAATCTCTCAGCGTGAATGGTGGATGGTAGGGTGCTTCTGACTGGCTGCCTTCCCCCTGGTCAACAGTTCAAAATTAAGGACGGCGGCAGATGACCTTAACAGATTTGCCATAAATTACAATAAGGCATATGCAAATTTTCCACAAAATACGGTATTGGTGTTTTAAACCTCAATGGTTATAACACCTCACAGCTGAAAATGCAGAGCATATTCAATGCCACAACGCAGGTTCGAGTCTTGAATACTTCGTTTCACAGCCCAACACGCTGACTACTAGTACACGCCTGGTCTTGTTTGTTTTCTGATTGATCTTAAAGTAGAAGAAAAATACACGTAATAACTGCAGAATGAATATCAATACTGCACTGCTTTCTCTGGAAGTAGTAGACAAAACATATTATCAACAGTATTCTACTATTATTTACTTTGTCATGAAGAAAATCTGGAGACTTTCCAGCATATCGTCATGGAAATCCTGTATACTAATAAATACCTGTTCAGGCGATACAACATATTGGGTTCTTCTAAAGGTTTCGGAAGTTAAGGTGAGAAGTAGCTGAAATGAAAGTATAGCTCATATCCAACTAGGTTATACAACATCTTGAGTTCCTGTAATAGTTTCGGAAGTAAGGTGAGAAATGGCTGGAGTGGAAGTATGTCTCTCACCTTTTCAGGTGGTACAACATCTTGAGATCCTGTAACAGTTTCGGAAGTAAGGTGAGAAATGGCTGGAGTGGAAGTATGTCTCTCACCTATTCAGGTGGTACAACATCTTGAGTTCCTGTAATAGTTTCGGAAGTAAGGTGAGAAATGGCTGGAGTAGAAGTTTGCCTCTCACCTGTTCAAGTGGTACAACATTTTGAATTATTGTAGCAGTTTCGGAAGTATGGTGAGAAATGGCTTCTCATCCAGTCAGTTGGTGGAGTATTTGAGAAATACGTTTTATTTTTTTACAATAATCTCACCACTTTTAGTGCTTGTAATAAAGTTTCGATCAATTAGATTTCTTGAATAAAGATGCCCCCCCCCCCATCTGAAGTTTTGCTACGTAAAACCTCAAGCTCAGTTGCAAGAGAAAATACGTAATAGAATATTCGAACAGATCATTAGATACAGCATACTGAATTACAAATCACACCCACTTGTAAGTCAAAGGCTCAAGTCATGTGCAGTGTCACAAGGAGAAATTTCGGAACATGACATACAAAACCTTCAATAGTTTCGACAAAATGTGCTACATCTTTTGAAATAATAACTTAGTCTTTTTGTATTTGGAATAATTTTAATTCTGTGCTCCTAATACTACCTGAACTATTCTTTACAAGCAACTTAAAAAAGTGATATTCTAGTCAAAATTTTATTCAGTAACTTACAGTTTAGAAAGAAAATTCAAAGTAAAAAGAATAGTACCACCTTTTTAGAAAGAAACTATATAATTCTTTGCACTCGTTAGCATTTTTAACTTGCGAAATTTCAACCTTAGGATTGCTGTTTTCATAACCATGGCTTGTCTTACATTTCTGGCTATGATGCACTTATTAACATTAAATATGCATACAGACATAGAAATTGCATTCTCGATCTTAAAAAATAACAATTAGAAACAAACGCAATATATTATAAGCTGGTTAGTTCATTCACACAACCATCTTTCATCTAGTCTAACTATTGCAATAATTATTATGACTGAACTCAAAGTAACAATAATTATGGCTGAACTGAAAGTAATAAGAATTATAGTTGAACACATAATAATTAGGTATTATTAAATAAATAAATCTCTATAAAAATAACTGGCAAGTAGCAAATCCATTTAGATCTTAACTGTCAAATATACATTTCTTTAAGTAATTTCCAGAAGGAATCGCTCCTAAAATTAAAGACCATAACTTACAAGCTGTTCATAGTGATTGTAGGTACTCCCCCCTTTTCACTCCAGACTACAGGAAGTTTATGTGATAAATCTGTAGTCTTTTCATGATAAAGTTCTCGCTGATTCCGCTGTTCATTGTACTGTATATCTAAGTGCAGTTCTTTGTTTGTTTGTTGTTAAGAGCAAATCTACACAATGGGCTAGATGTGTTGTGCTCACCACCAGTATCGTAACCCGGTTTTTAGCGTTATAAGCCTCCAGATTTACCATTGAGACATTGGAGAGTTAACTGAAGTTAATCTGAGTATATTTCTTATTAACTATTCTTCTTTTTACATAGTCACCTGAAATTTATTCTTAAAGAATTCGCACAATTTGACGAGTTATTTTGTCTTGAGTTTTATAAATATTTTTTACCCTGTAACTTTATATAACTTTTTGGTATGTTTGTATGATGTTGTTAATGAAATAGCATATAGGCTGAAGGAACAGGAAAACATAGAACAGAAATCACACTGGTCAAATGGTAGACTGGAGGGCAGTTTTCAGTCTTTTGTCCAGCTTCACGGCAAGAAATAAATTTACTGGTTCCAGGAGCAGCCTCAGTGGGATCCGTAAGTCTTTAAGATCAGGCACATTCGTCCCTTGCACCCCCGCCCTCCTCTACTTCTACAGCTATGCCCTGTCTCTTTATTTTTAATACACACACACCTAATTTGAGGTTTCCCCTGATTACACAAATTTATCAGGGGTTGTCAAAAATGGGTGTGTATACACTATTCTTATCTAATTTTTAATGATTATTTGTGGTGTCTCTGTTCTCAATCACAAAAACTTGCAATTGTAATGTTTTTGATTCTGTTTGTATTCTAAACTTTGCAACTAAATAATATTATGTCCACGTAACGTCAATTTTAGTTTTTATCAAAATAACTTTCTCTAGAGACGCATCAGTATCGTAGGACTTGTAACACTATAATGATTTACTTGAATCGCATCAGTATCGTAGGACTTGTAACACTATAATGATTTATTTGAATCGCATCAGTATCGTAGGACTTGTAACACTATAATGATTTATTT